AACTATTATTGGCAATCACTTGAATTATAATCACAATTAACCTAACAAGATTATTAATTATCTTATTAAGCGTGGTTGCAAGTACCAATTCCCTTTAAACATGCAATAAAAGGTGATCAAGCAATAAAATAATAATCAAGCAACATAAATAAATAATCAATAACAATATCAATCATAATCATAATCATAATCATGTTAAAGCATAGCAAGATCCTAGGCATGATACTAACAAGATTAATAACAAACCCTAGCATGTCACTAAACAATAAAAATCAAATCTTTAACCCTAACATGATACTAACATGAATTAATATTAGGAAGAATATAGGAAGCATCGTAATTTTAATCATACTTGATATTAAAGTTACCCTAGACATGATACTAGGAATCAAAATAATAATCTAAGTATGATTTCTATATCATAATATCAATTAAACCATTAAAGTACTTACTTGGATACCTCGTACCTCTTTCTAATAACAAAATACACACGTTAGTAACTTCAAGGAAAATAATAATCAAAGCAATTAAATTAAATAATTGAAAGAGAGATTTGGGACCAAACCCTCAGAAATTAAAACCTTTCACGTCTAGGGCGAAGGCAACTTCGAATATGGCTAGGTGTTTCTAGATCTTGTGAATGCGGAATTTTGTGTTAAAAAGCAAAGTTTAGAAAAGAATGAAGAGATGAATGAAAAGGATTATTTGACTGTAGATGAATGCTAATTGGTGAATGATGAAGATAGTTGATGAAGACTTAAGAATAAGGAGAATTCGTGAATGATAGATGTAGATGATGAATACTTAAGAATAAGGAGAATTCGTGAATGATAACGGAGTTTTTGATACGATATTTATAGAAAAAATCACCCAAAAAAGATAATTTAACAAAACAGAGTCTGAAGACCACAAAACCACCTTGGCGCCAGCCTTGGCTCATTGGCGCCAGGACCAGTGGCTAGCGTCAGGCGCCAATGGCTGGCGTCTGGCGCCAATGGCTGGCGTCTGGCGCCAATCCTAGTTCCAGGCGCCAAGTCCTGGGGTTGGACGCCAAATTGGATTTCAACACGTTTTTGAAAATCTGATAAATTTCCGTACCGGAAGATAAAATAATATAATTTCAGTCGAAAATGCTATTTGATCTTGATTAAAACTCTGAAGAGTCCTAATTGAATTAAGAATGAAAAGAACCTTCTAGAATATTCTAGAAAACTAAAACCATTCCTAATTGCATTAGGAATGATAAATTATATTAGGCCCTCCCCTAGATCATTGGGTCGTACTTAAAACTCAAACCGAGCCCAGTTTAGTAAATTGGCCATAACTTCCTCAATATTCATCGGAATTGGGCTTATAATATATCGTTGGAAAGGTCTTTGAAAACCCCATCCAACTACACCACTATTGGACCCATATCATGGACCAACCAAACTGGATTGACTGTTTTCTTAAAATAAAGTTTTCAAAAACAGAGAGAAGAGAAAAGAAATAAAACTTTCCGCAACACTAGACCTTTCCACACTTTCGTTTCATTCGATTATGATTCGACGTGAAAGACACTCATCACTGGGTTTGGTTTTGGGGAGACACAAATGGGTGTCTACAGTAGTGTAATTATATTGGATGATAAAACTATTTCTTTAATAATAACATGGATTACGAATGTGGTCCTTGATTTTTATTGGATTTTTAATAAATCACACGAATTACTTTACCTTTTTTTTTTTTGTAAATGATTGGGTTTTAGTTCCCATGTATTTTCTTAATTTATCCTTAATTTCCGTGATTTTCTATCAAAAGTGACAATTAAATGGGGCCGGATGGAGTATAAATTTAGGAAATCATAAAACTATAAGCACTAATTACACTGAATTACGCGTGATTTTGTCATAAATTCTTAATTTTATACTGTACAATTTTCTAAACGGTATTTAATGGTTATATATATAGCATTACCCAATTGAGTTTTAAATTTATCAATGCACAATTTCAACCATTAAACTTTATGAAAATATTGATTGCAATAGATGAATTCCACAAATACTAAGTATAAATTAAATTAAAGTTATGAAATATGTTCAACTGAATGCGTAAAAATTAAAAAGCATAAAAGTCAAAGGAAAATTGCAAATAATAATACAATTCAACATTTGACCGGTTCTTTTTTAATAATATAACCTTTCGATTATACATAAATATTACAATATTTGGGGGTGTTAATTTTTAACATGAAAAAACCAATTGGTAACCTGTTAAAACAGGTTACTATATCACGTGTCGTTGTTTTATTGGTTTTGTCAATTTAATTTGATTTTTAAAAATTTATTTCATATTTTTTATTTTTAAAATATATATAATAATAAAATTACTTTTATTATTATTATTATTATATATATATATATATTTATATATATATATATATTTATATATATATATATATATATAAACCCACCACCCCTGCCACCGCCTTCACCACCATTACCTCTCCCACTTGCCTTCATGCAACTCCCCTCTCCCCAAACCCAGAAACCGGACGCCTGACGTCCAGCTCACCCACTGCCGCCGACCCACCTCTTGTTACCCCAACCTCCCCTTACCTGTCGCGCCACCCATCCAAACAAAACTCTAACCTACGAAAACCGACCGTTGCAACCCTGATTCCACCTTTTCTCGACTATCGCAGCCACGAAACCACCCTTTCCCTTTCTTTTTCCAGCCATGATAAACCCTATTCCCTCACCCAAAACCACCAAATTTCACTTGACTTGGAAAAACCTGAAACCCTAGGAAACGAGTTTTCTTGGTTAAACGCAAAACCCAAAAAAAGGGATGTATTGGTGGTGGTGCATCGGTGACAACGTTAACTACTACCTGGTGGTGCTGTGGGAGCAACGAAGGGAGCAGGGTGCGTGGTGCTGATTATGGCTGCTGTGGTGGTGCGTTTAGGAGCTGTGAAGGCAGATGCAGGAGTGGTCAGTGTTGTTGTTGTTGGTTGGGCAGTGATGGCAGGGGAGGGGGAAAGGTGGTGGTGGTAGGGGTGGTGGATGGATTTTTAATTAAAATTATTTTAGGCCAGGTAAAATTTGTATAAGCAACCTTTTTTGTCCAACTTTTTTGAAAAAACCACCTTTTATGTTTTTTTATTTACTAAACCATCTTTTAAGTATCTAAATTTTTTATTGCACCACCCCTATTTCAAATCTAACAGATTGCATCTCAACCATCCACCTCCAAATCATCAACCGTAGTAAAACCTTCCCTTCCATCTCAATCATCACTTCTATTACCTCAATTTAGGGTTTGAGAATAAACAAATACTACAATTTAATTTTTGCAGCAAAATTAGGGTTGGTTTTTTTAGAGCTTTACTCAATTTAGTCATGCATTTATATAGAGGGAAGGGTCAAATGTTTTTTGGGTGAAAAAATACATGATTTAGGAGCGAAAGGCACAAGTTATGGGCCCCTTTGACGTCTTAGTTAAACTTTTCGTCAAAATTTGAAATAGGGGTGGTGCAATCAAAAATTTAGGTACTTAAAATGTGGTTTAGTAAATAAAAAAAAACATAAAAGGTGATTTTTTCAATAACGTTGGAAAAAAATGGTTTATACCAATTTTGCCATTATTTTATTAAAAACTAGATTCGCACGAGTTTAACAATGATTTTCGATTATAACAATATTTTTTAGCTTATTTGTGTGTAATATGTACATAGTGGAAATAATTTAAGAAAAATCTAATAAATTGATAAATTAATAAAGAGTGGACACCCAATTCATATAATTTGTATAAAATATATGGAGTAGGAGAAAAAGATACTCTGTAATGTTCATAAGAAAATGAAATAGTCCGACCTTCCTTTAATTCTACAGTGAAAATTGCATAATTAGTCAATTCAAATATAAAATCTATTAGAAAAATATATAATTAATTTAGTATTTTCAAATTTTTATTTATGTTAGAAAAAAAAATTAATGATGTCATTATTAGTTTTGGAGGGAAATTTTTTTACATGACGACGTATCTCATGGTAACTTGTTTAATAGGTTACAAGTTTTTTGGCTGTTTAAATTCAAAACCCCCCAAATATTGTAATATTAATGTATAATTATTTGCAATTTTTCCAAAGTCAAAATGGTGTCATATTAAACAAAAGGAAAAATGGAAATAAAAAATCACCATTTGCACTTTGTTCTCCTAAAAATCCAAACTTCGTTTTATTCCACAAAAACCCAACCTTTATACCCCACCTTCTCTTACACATCCATTTTACTTGTAAACTGATAAACACGTTAAAAAGAATTTTATTTTTTTAATTTTCTCACTTTCCTTTCTCACTCCTCTTTTTTCTCTCTCCTCTCTCCTCAAACACTAAAACCACCAACCTCACCTCCCGCCACCACCACTTACCCCACCACCACTTACCCCACCCAACCCAAACCCAAAGCCGAAACCACCAACCCCACCTAGGCTCCAAATTCACAATTATGGGTGGTTATTTAGAAATCACAATTTAATTCAACACATATAAGGTGAGTATGTTCTTCTTTCAAAAAAAAAAAAAAAAAAAAAAAAACTTGTTCTTGCAAATGGTTATTTAACTTAAATTTACTGAATGAATGAGTATAAATCACAAGTCTGCAAATGCGAGAGTCTAGTCTTACTGTATAAATTTGGTAATAATTCAAACTTAATGATCAAATCATCAAGTATCAAAGAAAATTAAAAAAAAAAAAAAAAAAAAAAAAAAAAAAAAAGGTTCATCACTTCATCTATCCACTATTTAATTTATTTCTAATTATAAATTACTTCGTATGACAGGAAGTCCTGCAGATGCTCTTTCGTGGACTCTGAAATTCTGCAAAAGGAAACCGAAGCGTGAGATTTCAGGAAAGAAAAGATTTCTTACAGAAGCAAACTAAGTGCTGAAATAAGTTAAATGGCAAGATATAAGAAAAAAGGATGCTCAAACAAAGCGAATAAGAGATACCCTGAATTTGGCAGGAAATCCCAGCTTCTGAATGATTCGAGCATACTGAATGAGAGAATAAGATGAGAATTTAGTAACCAAAGATCAAGAAAATGAAATAGTCAAGTACACAAAATACAATGACTACTTACCTTACGAGCAGCTAGTTTTGAGTTCTTCTCACTCTTAGCTCCGGTGCAAATCTAGATTGACAGATAATCATCAGTGAACGAACACGCAATGAATAACAACACTCTCAGACACTTTTTCATGAAAATTTCTTATATTGAGACTGAGGAAGAAGATAACTGATATTAAATCGAATCATTAGTGAAGCTACTATGGTTTAACAAGCATGACAACTCATATTCAAGCCGTATAAGTGAACACAAAACGCTTAACGTGATATTCGGATGAAACACTTTCCTGAACCTTGAAAAGAAAACCTGTTTCAACAAAATTTCTACCATATAAGAACAGCTAATTAAGGTAGAAGCTCACCAACTTTCCAGAAGCAAATACTAGGGCTTTTGTCTTCGGCTCCCTTATACTCAAAATGACAGCCTCAAAACGCTGCAGGACATCAGAATAGGAAACAATTATAAGTATTTTAAGAAATTAAGAAAAAATTACAAAATCTATCAAATGTCAGACATGTTACACTGCACAATCACAACTTCTAAGAATCTACCGATGGATTATACTCTGCATTACGAGCTTGCGATGCAATAAATTCAAGATCCAAAGTGCAGCCCATGTTGACAGCTGATACAGAGTTCCTACACAAATAAAGAATAATTAAAGATAATGATAATTAATAATCAAAGATTAACCTTAAAGATACCTTAAAAAGAGAGTGAGATGAAATTTCAAAGACAAATCTTTGATGACAAGAGAGAATTAAAACAAAAAAACCTTTTGATTTCAAGCAATTTAACCAATTTCATAAGGCGATATTGGATGATCCCAGATAGATGTTCAAAAGCCAAATCAAATTCAATCAAATCAATATCTTTCTCGAGATTCTTCCATGTCAATTTCGCTTTCTTTCCTTCTGTTCAAAATCAAATTGGGGAAAATTGTTAACTTCTTCACCATTAAATTAAAATTAAACCCTAATTTCTAATTACTTAGATTCTCTTTCTATGTTCATCATCATGCTTAAACCAACTGAAATAAACAAGTATGTTTTGAGATTAGAATTCAATTAAATTATACTCCGATTAAAGATTAATTGTAATTGCAAATCAAAACATTGAAGAATTGATTGCAATTTTAGAAAAGAGAAAGAAAATTGAAAGTTAAGATAAAAACATTGTAAAATTAACGACTCACGTGAATTAGCAGGTACGCCGATGTACGAGAAGAAGAAGAGAGAAAAAGAGGAGAAGAAAAAGAAGATTGAAGGAAATTTGAAAGAAGGGGATTTTATATAAGATCAAGGATAAAGGGTATTTATAGGTGTTGAAAACGCACATAAACCGCCTTCTTTCATTCGTTTTCTAATTGGACTCGGATTCCTATTTGGGCCCTTTCTTTTTATTTTTTATTTTTTTATCACGTTTTATATTTTTATATTTTTTTACGTGGAAAGTTAATCGCCTCGAATATCTAACTAATGTCCGCAAAATAACTAAACTTATAAATTTACCCCTTTTTTAATAAAAAAAATTACCCCCTCAATTTACCCCCCTCTTCATACTACCCACCACTACCACCACTTCATACTAACCACTGCACCACTACCACCACCACCTCCTCCTCCTCCTCTTTTAACCACAAACTCCTTACCTCCGGTTTCACGATCTACACAGCCGCGGTAATGACGAGTAATTAAGGACAAAGGAAAGTCGGTCGCCGGCGGAGAAAATGTTTGTTTTTTATTTTCTAAATTTGCGGCAAACGCCTAGATTTTTCGCACGTCCTAGGCTCAAACGCCTAGTTCGTGCAAACAACCGTGTGGTTATATGAAAAATCTGGGCGTTTGAAGTGAAACGCCTAGTTTTTTAAAATACCCTAGGCTGAAACGCCTATTTTTTTCGAATAGCCTAGGATGTTTCGAAAAAACTAGGCGTTTCAGCCTAGGGTATTCGAAAATTCTAGGCGTTTCTTGGGTTTTTTTTAAAAAAAACTCGCGACGTACCGATTCCGTACGATTCGACGAGCCTTTGGCGAGCGTATAAGGTTTTCGTCGTTGTCCATAAGATCTAACGAATTTGATTTTACAAAATTAAAAAAAAAAAATTGTTTGATTTTGATGAAACTCACGGTGGTTGGGGTGGTTGTTCGATGAGCGTTAGTGGCCGTTGACCACTAAAGAGAACGATAAAAAAATTTGTGTACAATAAAAGTGTGAAATTGATGTAAAATTAATTATTTTTATAATCGTTATTATAAGGATAAATATGTAATTTTATTTCATTTTGCGGGCGTTAATTAGATATTCGAGGGCAATATTTAACAATCCTTTTTTTATTTAAGAGTATTTTTATTTATCATGGTTTATTTACTATAGAGTACGGAGTACTATTTACGACTTTACTTGTAATTGTCGATTTATTCATATACTTCATATTTAACAATTTTGGTTTATTCATAATTATGAAATAATGTTTCTTATTTCCAAAAAAAAAAATGAAATAAAGTTTCTTAAAAAAAAATTTGAAATAAAGGAGTATGAAAAAATGCAATCCTGCACGTTAAATTTATAGATTGAATAATTATTCATCCGTTTTATGTATAAGGTCAACAGGTCACAACACTCGTTCATGCAACAATAATGTAGGCCGGACGTTAACTTGGTCCAAAAACTAGTTAATACATTATTTAGTACTCCGTAGTACATATAAAATCAATCCAAACAAAAACTTAATACTCCCTCCTTTCAATATGATAGTCCTACATGAAATCTATCACATAAAATAAGAAAAAGAAGAATATTTGGAATCTAACATTAAAGTAAAAAATAATTCATAAATAGTTTTGCCTTATTTAAACTTTTTTGTTTTTTTTAGGAAACCGTCAAGTATAACTGCATAATTCAAGGGAATAATTTCTTTACTTAGACTCATGTCATCAATGCACAATCATTAATTTAACCAATCATAATTTAATATGTATAAAATAGGAAATAAAAACTAAGTTAAAAGTAGAATACATTCAATATGGGTAGATGTTTTTGAAACGCCCAAAATAGTATATGGGACTAACAAATTGAAACGGAGGGAGTATTACAAAGCTTGATAAAGTAAAATTACAAAGTGGTATGACCAGTTAGTACTTTTATTAAGGGACTCTTTATTGTACAAGAGCATAAATTTATTTAACAGCATGTCTGCATAGATAATGTTTACGTGAAGGAAATATTTTCACAACGTTAAATCAAGCTTTAGCAAAAATTCCTCTCATTCGCATTACTTCCTGATGACTTAGGTAAGTAATTTGCTGAGCTATCTCAGCAGGTAAATTCCCACCAAACAAGGAGAATGTAGTGAGTTGAACTGCTGGATTTTCACTATTCAAGCTAACAAATGCAAGAGCTGGAGTAGAACCAGCATTTACCTGGAAATGAAGCATAGCTGTTGGGAATATCATGACATCGCCAACCTCTAACTGTTTATAGTACGCGGTGTTGTTTTGGTCCATAAACCCTGCAATAATTGTCCCTTTTACAACAATTATAATTTCTGATGTTCGGTGAGAATGAACTGGGATAACTCCACCCACGCCTAAATCTAACCTCGCCAAAGAAATTCCTAAACCATTTAACGCTGGGAATGCTTCCACAAACGCTAGTGTAATGTTGTTCTTAAAAACACTTGAGGTGACTTTTTCACCGCGAAATCCAGTGTAAACAAAGTCATCTGCGGTAACATTAGTTGGATCTTTACAAGCGTATCCCTCAGGTCCCCTGGGGAGACTAAGATCTCCCACACAAAAATCGAGTTCAATGGCATGATTGAGACAAGCTAAAAGAGAAAACATAAATAAAATTGGAAGATTATTCATCTTTAAATTAAATCTAGAGAAGCCAAGGGAAATTTTGTGCCAAGGATGGTAGCTAAGCTAGCTTTAATTAGTATTATGGATTTACTTTCTTGATTGTATGTCTTTGCAACAATTTGCAAACTATATATAGAGAAAGCATGAACATGTAGTAATCATTAAAAAAAAAATATTATGAAACTAAGATTTCATATAATAATACTATACTAAGCTACCATTGCTTTTATGTATGACAAAAAATACTATTCCGTTGATTAACCACACAAATTTTATAATATTTACGTGTAAAACGCTTTACCATCATCATTATAAGACCACTTTTGTGATTAAGCATGTGACCCTATCTAACTTGCTCTTTTTCCTTGGCCAACCCTTCTACAAAGCGATTTTATGATGGTAAAAGCCAGTTATTATTATCAAGTCTATACCCTTTCTTAACTTGTTTCCCTTAATTAACTGTCAGCTTTTTTTTCAACTTCTATCTAACAATGGTATAGGCAGGTCAAACTTTTTTAAAAAATAATAAATAAATAAACAATATTAATTAATAATTGGAACTAACCTGAATTTTTGCATATTAGCTAGCTAAACCCCAATGGTGTACCATTTATTATTATTATAATAATAATAATAATAATAATAATAATAATAAAGTTATACAACCTATAGAAAATTAGTGAGAAGCCGAGATACAATCTGGGCCCCCACTCCTCTAGCTATTATTATTATTGTTATTATTATTATTATATCTCAAAAACTGATAAAGTCATACAACCTACAAACAATTAATGGAAAGCCGAGATATAATCTGGGCCCCCACTTTTCTAGCTTTAGAACAGCCTATCGTAGGAGAAATATGAGTAGCAGCACGAACCCAAAATCTTTTGATAAGAAAGATGAAATTACCGTAAATTTCTGTATAAATGAAAATGAATGACATTAAAAACTAAGATTCTGCCTGCCAAAGAGCAATTAGCATGCCAAGTTAAACTGTGTGATGGAAAAAACAAAAAAAGTGAATTCATGAATACATTTGCATGTTCATGAATCTAAAGCTCTAATTTGCCATTAGCATGCCTAGTTTTGAAATAAAAAATAATAAATACAAAATTTATACCAATGTATTTATGTCAAAATATATATATGTCAGCAGTCAACATTGACTTCATTGTCCATGCCAGTCATGGTATCAGTTGACTCCATTGTTCATGCCTGTACCTCGGACAAACAGCTAATATGCTAAAATTAACCTTTAGTTGTTTTAAGTGATTTTCTTACTTTATAAAATCAAATTAATTATTAAAAATAGGGGGATTTTTCTAGTCACACCGTGTGATCAGAGCTACTTGAGTTACTCGATTAAGGATCATCAAGTTACTCCTGATCGAGTAACCCTTGACCGAGTTATTCCTGACCGAACCTCTCAAGGAATCCCTGGCTGAGTTGTTTTTTGTTTCTTTTTTTTGGACCAACTAATGTGTGACGTGTGGTGTATTAAGAATTTTTTTTAAATACAAAAATCTTTCTCAACAAGTAACCGGTTTTTGGGATTGAAAAAAAAAAAAAAGAGGTGAAAGTTGAGATTATTAAAGTGTATTTTTCCTATTATTTATGAGTTTAGAATTTGACTATCTTTAATTTAGGATCTACTATGTGTGCCCTATAAGTGTTGAAATATTTTGTGAAACAAATTGTTATATTATTTAGGAACCTATGCCATTATTCTGATACTATTTATTAGTTTGTGAATGATTATGTGATCAAATTGAAAATAAATATGAGATCAAAATGTTGAACATTATTATTTTATTCTTGGTAGAACCTCTCTTATAGACCTTAGTCCTTGGCATGTTGGTAAGGAGATAATAATAATAATTATCAGTTAAGAATGAGGTACAATCTTTATTTTATATTTTTTAAGGTCCCCTTATAGTTGGATTTGACCCGTATGTATATGTTGCTCATGGTTCAAGGTGTTTTTTGGTTATTGAAAGTATTCAAGTTTTTATATTTGTTGTTTTATTTATTCCAATTACCTATGTCCAAGGCTAGGTATAAAACAGAGAGTGTGGCACACTTATGGGATAGATGAGCTAATTGAGTAAAAAGTTTGTATTATTTTTAGAGGTTGACTCTGACAAAAATTAATTTTTAGAGTACAAGGTGTAACGTAAATTTGAACTACATTGTTTATTTGATGAGCTAGTTATGATAATTATTATATTATTCTTTGTATTCTGATATGTGATAATTATTACTCAGTTTTTTACCGATGTGTGTATTGTTTGTTTGTTTTACTACTTAGGTTTGCGGTCATGAATTTTTCTTATGGCGGTCCTACAACGATCTATTTTAGAATTTGTCCTTAATGGTGAACAATTAAGATGTTCTAAAAAAAAATAGGAGGTGATGGTAGCTAAAGATTATAATGTTTCGAATAGTATTTCATAACGAGTTTGTAAATTTTTTACTAATAGCTCACTTAGTTTATTGAGTTGTAATAGTGTATGGGATTTTGTAGCCTTAGCACTTGACAAGTTGTTCAGTGTGGCGGTAATATTTTTTATTTAGTTGTATGCTTCTGCAATTTATTTAAAGGTTGTTTATTTTTTCATTAATTTTTATTTATTTATAATTAGTAAATCAGGGGTGTTACAACGATACGTGTTAAAATATAGTTCGAATGCCTTCCATTTTAGAGTATTGTAGACACCTAAAAATGTCTCCCCAAAACCAAACTCGATGATGAACAACCTTTCCCCGCCATTATTGGTCGGTTTGAGTATATAATCCTTAAAGTGCTTAAATCCATGTTCAACCCAACACATTTTATAAATCAACCCAATTCTTAGCCCATTTTCCCCAAACCATAACATATTTTCCTCTTTTTGTGTCCACATCACAAAACTGAGCTGAACTAATTTTGTGACCCTATAATTTTGATACAAATTTTATTTGGTTGGATATGTCTTTCAATAAGATTTCCAACGGTATATCATAAGCCCAATTCCGATTTAAAACGAAGAAGATATGAGCAAAATAATAAACTCGACCCAAAACTGATATCCTTTCACTAAAATAGACATATCTTAAAATACACAAATGATTTTGACCTAATTTAAATTAGGATGGCAAGTAGACTTAATAATATTTCCAAGGATATATTATATGACTTATTCCGAGTTACGGATCAAAAGTTATCATAGTTTTAAAAACGCGTAAAAACTGGAATTATCACGCAAAAACTAAAATGTCGGGCCACGATGCATACCAACGTGGCACGTTGCCTTGTACTGTGACGGTAATTTTCACCTTGTCACGGTGCTTTCCCATTTCTATTCCGTGTTTTTTCTCACGCGCTTATGAATCTGGACGCATTTTTTCTGCGGCTCTTATCTCTTCTAGGGTTCCGTGCATCCCCATGTTCGTCTCCTCTATAAATACAAACCTGATTTCTGCAGTTTCGGGGCACCAAAAATCATTCTCTCTCTCCTCACACCAAAAATCATTATCTCTCTTGCTTAAACCTAATTTCTAGCCTTCCCTATTCTTCCACCAGACATCCCTTAAGCACTCCAAGGAGTACATACTTAATTGAGCCAATGTTTCGTCCTTAAACTAAGGCGTGAAAGGTATAATTAACTGAGGGTTTGGACCAAATCAATGTAGGATTTTATAGGTACTACGCGGCGGAAATAACATGAATCATATTCATAAAGCACCTAAACTAAGAATCGCATGCATAACACACAAGACACATAATCATACCTTTGATGCGTGAATTCCACGAAGCTATTCGACAGAAAAATCAGGGAGAGAATAGAGCCCCAAGTGTTGCTCCTCTACTTAGTCCATGAGATTCAAACGAGTCGTCCACCACTAGATTGGTCGAGTGATTGAGGAAAACCGCGATCACCACCTTTTCGGACAACTGACCACCGCACGAACCACCACCACCACCGGCACCGAGGAGGAGGAGAGAGCCGTGTGAGAAAGAGGACTTTGAGAGGGGTTGGGTTTCGTGTTTGCTAATTAGGGTTTGACCAATAGATCAGTAAAACTGCATACATGCAAACCTAGGCACCTAGTCTATTTATAATCTCATTATAATTAGACTAGGGCACGAAGCCTAAAACCCATTCTAGTCCTCCATATGGCTGGGCACCTAGAGTGATGAGGCCCATGATGGGCCTCGTCCTCTAATGCTCGATCTAGCCCCTATGTGTGACTTTATATATAGGATCTGTCCAATTGGGCTTTGTGCTATTTTACTAGTCCAAAGATAGTTAGTACCTCTAGCTATGGCAAAACGACGACCCAAATGTACGGACTTAATTATCTTCATAAGATTGCACACGACGAAGACATAAATCCTTAGTAATTCTAAATATCTAATGAACCAAGCTTTTAAAATTGTTTGGCAAAATCATGTATCGATTAGCTTCTTATTATTGGCTTATTTACACTGACCTTTAGGATTGTATACAACAATTTTCCTTTTTCTAATTTTATTTTTCCATAGGCTTATATTTGATATGAATAGATTTTTTAAAAAAAAAAAAAAACAATTTGAAGAATCTATCTATCTATCTATCTATATATTATACTAAAAGACAAGCGACTCAATGTGAGGATGACAAATGTCACTCTCTTATTGGCTTATCTTATGTATAAAATATATATCTATGTAATTACTATTTACATATTCAAGCATAGTTATTTTTGTTAAACTTCAAACAATAAAAACAAGTTTCTATACATGCATAAGATTTTCATGATTTCCTAACATAAATATTGTTTTAATTTTTTTTATAATATATATTTTCCAATACTACAAATAATCCATAAAGTCTTTTCAATCTTTATTTATAGTCAAGTTAAAGAATAATAACTAATTTGAAGCAATATGATTAAAGTTGCATAATTAAGGAAACAAATATTTCGTATTTTGAAAGGCTAATATTGTTTTTTTTTTTATGAAAATTAAATAAAATCGATAAAATTTAGTTTGACATCAATTATGAAATCAATACAAACATTTAAAAAAAATTCAGATGTACAATAAAATATTGTGCACCTATTATAAAAGCTACCCTGTAATGAATGAAAGTTATTTATGCTTTATTGATAAAAGTTACCCAAAATAGTCTACAAGTTATCGTTTGTTGTACTCCTTGACAAATACTGAATGCTGAGCTGAAATGTTGTCTTGGAAAAAAATACATAATCTTGAACATAAATTTAATTTTAATCGGCCTTTCATTTTCAATACAATGTCTTTTACAATGACCTTTTGTTTTTCTCGCATTAAAAAAAATAAATAAATAAATAAAAAAAACTGATGAACTAATAACCAATCTAAACAAGAAGAATAAAAGTTAAATTGAATTAGACATTTGATGGAAAAGGGATAGATAAAACAAGTATTATAACTATTACTCGTGTTTTGAATTGTAATATTCGTATTAACAATGCTATTACTTATGAATTTTTTTTAGAAAAACTAACATTTTGATTCAAAAATAGTGCATAACTCATGTACTATACTAGATATACAACAATCATGTGCAATAATTTATGTTGTTTTATACATAATAATACTTTTAACTATAATAGTATGTGTATAAAATATAATATTTTTTATAATATAAAAAAATATATGTATATAATATAATATTTTATAACACGTGTCCTCCATACCAAGTGTAGTCCCAATCACCACTACACCAATTGGTTGTTGGTGTAGTGGTGATTGAGACTACACTTGGTAGGGAGGACTTGTGTTCGCTCCCCTGCAACAACAATCGGAAGGGGAGTGGAACCTAATAACCTAAAACTGATCCTCAAATCTGGATTAGCCCAAAGGGTGAATCAGACAGAACACCCAAAACTCAATGCATATATGACGGGAATTAACTTATCCTTTATCTATCTTATACAAAACTCCAAAGTCTAAATTTTTTTTCAAAATATAATAATAACATTTGTAAATTTTTGTTAATATGAAAGATATAAACCTATCAAAATGTATATATAGTTAAATTGTTTAATAACTTATATCGAATGCGTAGTTTTATTAAAATTATTTGCATGTAATCATTAAATGTGTTGGATGTTGTGTAGCTATGCAATGTCCAAAACTTTAGTTGAACGACTTTGATTTAGTGGTTATACGGTAAAAAGATATTGACTTCGATCTTGAAACCTAATAGTCTAATAAATTCTAAATAGAAAAATTAAAACAAAAAGAAATGAAAATAGTAAATGACTTTAAATATTGAAATAAACATAACCTTTTAAATCAATTTAGCGAATTCAAGAGACAATTTTAAGGCTTTTAAAATTAAATTGGGGAAAATATATGTAAAAAGAACGTTTTTAGATGTATAAATGTCCATGCACTATTATAAGAGTTTTGTTAACCTTTTTATAATTAAGGTAGGGATAAATCTTAGTAATATATACTCCGTATATTTTATTTATATAAAATTATCAGTATCCATACCTATATACGAATTATTTGTGTTGTATACTATATTTAATCAGCCGTTGGTTATATATATGACTATTATATAATACATAGTTTTTGGCACAATGCTTAACTTAGGAAAATATATGTTCTGGTAGGTCAAATATAAGGTTATTATTGTGTCTATAGATTTAATGAGTGCGACGGGTAAATAAAACATGTATATATTAGATTGATTGTAGCTACTGATGCGGATGGTATGATAAGAAAATTTTAGTTTTTTCTCAACCGGAGATATAAATAAATTAGTCCACTTCTTATATAGCTATGTGGAGTATTATTCAATTATTTTTCAATTAATAAATTAACATTATAAAAAATTAAAAGAAATTCAAATAACATAAAATACTATTCAAATAACGTTCCTTTAATTTTTTTTTTATTGACCATTAGTAACCAAGTCCTTTAATAGTAAATGAATTACCTTTGTTTTTATTTTTATTTTTTCTACGGGTTTAATAATTTGATTTATAAACCGTGCATCGCACGGGCACTATGCTAGTTTTTAATTAACTCCAAAGTCCAATCAATGCTTAATTTAAGGCTAATTAATTACAGTAATAAACAACCGCATACTGCTAGATATACTACACGAGATTATGTAGATCTCATAAAGTGGTGATCGTAGTATATTCTATACAATCCCCTTTATCTTAATCTCTCCACTACTTTGTAAGTTTGTATTAATTACAAGCTAGAACAACTTCCGTCTTCTACTCTCACAAACGAAATATAATTTTACAAAATGGATAACAATTATTTTGCAAATCATGCTACTAAACTGATACTAGCATTACCATTAACCATTCTACTAATTGGTGTGTCGTCTAAGGCACTTCCAAGGCAATTATTTGCAACAATTCGACATGATGATCATACTCTAAACTCGTCCTCATCTTCTCCGTGTAACTTTCCGGCTGTATTCAATTTCGGCGACTCCAACTCCGATACTGGTGGTTGGTCTGCCACGTTCGGGCAAGCCGAACCTCCTCATGGTGAGACTTTCTTCCATGCTCCTGCTGGGAGGTACTCCGATGGACGTCTCTTGATTGATTTTATAGGTACGTGTTGAGTCTTTTGAGTTATTTTGTAACAATTTCATTTAATTTGTACTTGTACTTTTGTATCATCATCACTTTTACTTAATTTTAGTTCAGTTCAGCTCTAATCAGTTAGTTCAATTTAGCTCCAATTAGTTCACCTTTAATCAGTTCAGTTCAGTTCATTTCAGCTCAGTTCAGTAAATGTGAACATGTCCATATTCATCTTCCCATTTATTGATGCATACCTTAGCTTATGTAACTATATAACTTTTATTGTTTTCCTAAATATATGAGTGCCAGGGCTCTCTAATTGGGTAAGCCATCACTGTACCATTTGTATAAGTCGATTGACCTTTTTTAAGTCAATTTCATGTTAGTATTAGTAAGTAGTGGATCGAAACTAATTCAAAATATATCAATTTATACTTAAATACAAGTCCTAAAAGGATGAAAGTTTTGTTTACATCATTTCAATTCAAATTAACTTTTTTTTTTAATCAACTAAGCAAATTGACATTCACTATATGCGAACAAATTAATGTCGCTCACTATAATGTAACAAAATTGATGCAGCGGAAGGTGTAGGGATCCCTTACCTAAACGCGTACCTCGACTCAATGGGATCTAACTTTAGCCATGGAGCCAACTTTGCAACGGCAGCGGCCACCATTAGACCTCAGAATAGCACTTCATTCAGCCCTTTCTCGTTGAATGTCCAAGTTTATCAATTTCATGATTTCCGACAACGGTTGCAGATTATCTGTAATAGAGGTATTTAACAAACTAATAATATAATGTTTTTTCCCCTTTTATATTACTTGTTGTTCCATTAAATTTGGGTTTGCATGTGTTTACTTACATTAATTAATGCTTTATTATTTTACGATATTTCCGTTATTGATCAAATTATAAATTTGTTATGTCTATTTTTTTTAGTAAAATAATTAATTTCCAAAGTAGAAAATTATCCATGAAATTAGAGCTATAGTAGATGATAAAGACTTAATAATTTTAGTATTTTACGATAACTATGTGGAACCTTTAAATATTACATATACATATACAAATGCATAATTCGTAACCAAATTCGCAGAAAGTGTTACGACTTACAAGTCATTTTTGACAAAGTAAGAGTAAGTATATATATCATTTATATATTTTGTACTCATATTTAGTTTTCCTCGTTATTACATGAGGTTAGGAGATGTGTTTAAGAGCTTAATGCCGAAGGCAGAATACTTCTCTGAAGCTCTTTACACATTCGACATTGGACAAAATGATTTAACGTCCGTCTACTTTCCTGATATGTCAATCGATCGAGTGAAAGAAAAAATCCCTGACATTTTGAATCAATTCAAGGCATATGTCAAGGTACGCATAATTATTCGTCTTCAACTAGTTTGACGCCTTTGAGCTATTGATAGCCTAGCTAGTTGCATTCAATATCCAAAATTACCATTAATCATACGTGATTTGTATTTCAAAAAGTCTTTAGATTTAATCAAATTTTGTCTCATAAGCTTATCTATCAGGTAGGGTATCAAGTTTTGTCTCATACGAAGTAATTGTTTCATTACTATTTAGGAAGTATATATCCGAGAAGGTAGATACTTTTGGATACATAATACGGGTCCACTTGGATGTCTAACGTATATGCTAAATGGTCAAACTCTGAATGCAACCCAAATGGACCAAACTGGATGTGCTATTTCATTAAACGAAGTGGCCCAAGACTTTAATTCTGGGCTTAAGAAAATTGTGGCCCAACTCAGACAAGAAATGCCACTAGCAGCCATCACGTATGTGGACATCTACTCCATCAAGTATGACCTCATTAGCCATGCTAAAAAATTTGGTAAGTTTCAGTTTTGTTCGTCTTACTTATAATTTTGAAATAAAGTTCAACCTAAGCTCATAAAAGTGTCTAAAGAATGTAATGATACTCTCTTTGTTTCCTTTAAAATTCCGATGTTTCTATTTTGATTATTAATTCATTTCCCCTTCTTTGTTTAATGTGCAAAAATATTTGTAATTCTCGTTCTCTTATAAAAGAAATTACGCCTTTAACATTTTTCATTTTGTTCATACATATAGGTTTCGAAAATCCATTTTTGGCTTGTTGTGGACATGGAGGAAAGAATAACTATGACATGCAAAAGCGTTGTGGATCAAAGATTATGGAAAATGGTAAAGAAGTTTTGGTTGGATCTTGCAAAGATCCATTGGTGAGGATTAGTTGGGATGGAGCTCATTACACAGAGGCGGCCAACAAATGGGTTTTCGACCGTATGGTTGATGGATCATATTCGGATCCTCCTATTTCATTGAAAATGGCATGTTACAAGCATTAGTGATGAGTTAATTTGATAAGTTTGCCCTTCTTTTCCTTAGTGTAAACTTAGATGAGATTGATCCATGCAAATGTAGGTCTCCAACCATGTTATACCTAGTCACGAATCTATTGTATTCATTGAGTTTATTAAAAAAAAACATAATCTTAATTAATTTTACACATACTACTATATATTAGATGTGTTTGGTTATGCTACCACATACTCACTCCGTCCCTTTGTCTAATAAAGGGACAAAGGGAGTACTATATACGAAGTATTAGATAACTTTTTTTTGACTTCAAATTGAATATATTTAGTTGAATTTGCTACTTTCAAATTGAATTAAACTACGGTTATAGCCAGACTATCATGAATTGGGTTAGAATTTTGACTTCAACCTAGGCTTGAGCAAACTTATTTGCCTCGAAATGTGACACCCAATGCTTCAAAGTTCAAGCAAACCATTTAAAAAAAATAATAAAAATAAAAAACTTATTACCGAGTACTCAGTTTCACAATATTTCACCCATTTTGCACAATAATTCAAGTACTCGTAATTACTTTGACCATAGTCCATACTATTTAAATACCAGTACATTATAAAAAAAAATTATCGCTGCAAAAAAATGTCCTCAATATACTTTGTATATTAAAATAATAATAATAATAATAATAATAGTGCTGCAGCTCATATCTTCACTAGGGTAGGATTTGCAATAGCTAAAGGAGTGGGGGCCCAGATTGTATCTCGGCTTCCCACTAATTTATTGTAGGTTGTATGACTTTTGTTTTTGAGATAATAATAATAATAATAATAATAATAATAAAATAAACTATAGTTTGTGCTAATGGACAATCAAAATTATTGATGGTTTGTTTAAAAAAAATAAAAATTATTGATGGTTAAAGATATATGGCAGTATGTAACATATCCATAAAAACAAGATATTATAGGATGGAGGTAGCAGTACATACATATATAAGATATAAATCCGTGGTCACTTTGATAAGTTTGATCAAGTGTGGCTACCTACCATCATTGTTTGAGTGTGTATGTTTGTATGTAATTATATTGTTTTGTTGCAATATATTGAAAACCTTCATCTTTCAACATTCACTATGAGTTTCCTCAGGTTTCTTCAAACTTCCAGTAATAAAACCTTCTTTGTTTTTAGCTACTAAGGCACGTCTTACTCTACGACTCCATCTAATGAAGTTCAGACCAGCAAATTGAACAGCAACCAAAGAAGCAGTAGGATTATCAGAATTAGCGATGAAAAGAGGATCGATATTACCTCCAGAAGCACCATTGTTGAGGTTAACATCTCCAGTCGCCATTGATATACTCAAGAATTCGATCAATTCAAAAAAAAATCTCCAGAAAAAACTTCAAGATCACAATCGCAAACACAATCGTAATCGAAGATTTAGGCAAAATCAACCGAACAATCGCAAGAAAATTTCGCAATCGCAAGAAATTTTCGCAATCAGACAGTCAAAAAATCCAGCAATAAGCTCAAGAACACAAATCAATCGAAAAAAAAAACGAAACCCTAATCTCGATTGAGATCTCGCTCTGATACCATGAAGAAACTTTAGAGAGAGAAATTACAAATGAGAGTTCTCATTAATAGAAGGAAAAATGAGAAGTAAGTATACAATAAATGAGGCTAACACTATTTATACAATAGTTAGTTCTAACTAATTTCTGACAGCTAATAATAATAATAATAAAATATTATTACTAACTCCTATAATTTTTAACAAAAATCATCATGAAATTGTGTATGCAGCTGAAAGCTTTGGACTTCCATATCTCAATGGTTTCCTTGATTCAGTTGGATCCAACTTTAGCCATGGAGCCAACTTTGCTACGGCAGGGTCTACTATTAGACCTCAAACTACCATTTATTATAGCCCATTCTCTCTTAAAATCCAATCTAATCAATTTTATGATTTCCATCAACGCTCTCAGATCTTTCGTGATAAAGGTAATTAAATTACATACTTTCTCTATTCTTTTCTTTTCGCGTTGTGTTCTAAACATTTTTTTTTAATATAACCATGTTATAACAACTGTGTTTTAAAGGCGTAATTATTTTGGGAATAATTTCAACTTTAATGGCCTTAAAATTAAAGGCTGACCGAGGGTTATCTTTTTTTTTTTTTTTTTTTTTGGTGTGTTGAGGGTTATCCTTTTTAATTTATGTTCGAGGTCTAATTCATCTAACCTTTTCCTTTCCTTGAGCTCAGAAGATATTTTCAAGAAATTATTGCCAAAGGCAGAATATTTCTCGGAAGCTCTTTACACATTCGATATTGGCCAAAATGATTTGGTGGCTAGTTATTTTCCAAACATGTCAATCGATCAAGTTAAGGCAGCCATACCCGACATGTTGGATCAATTCAAGAAATATGCCAAGGTACATAATTTACCACTTTCATGTTCTATATATAATACACACATGTAACACCTAATTAAAATTTACGTGGCACATCTAATTACGAAGTAGAATTCAGCTCATTAATTTCTTTCGAACATTATTATTACAAATTAATTTGTAAAACTTGTTATGCACTTGATATTATGCAACCGTTGTATAAGATACCTTCCGAGTTTTACAACATTCTTAATTATGCGTGCAGTCCATGTACGAGCAAGGAGCAAGGTACTACTGGATACACAATACGGGCCCACTTGGATGCCTACCGTATGTGCTGGATGGCCTCCCACTTAACACCCAAATGGACCCAACTGGATGTTCAATCCCTATTAATGAGTTTGCCCAATACTTTAACATTGGGCTTAAGAAAACTGTGGCCCAACTCAGAGAAGACATGCCATTAGCCTCAATCACATATGTTGATGTCTACTCAATTAAGTATGACCTCATTAGCAATGCTAACAAATATGGTACGTCTTAATACAAATGTTAAGTATTTTTCTTGTTCTTTTTTGTTATTCTTGTTTAAAATTTCGTCGTGATGAGATAAATATAATTAATTGGTGTTTTTGGTCTTATACTATGTAGGTTTTATATATCCATTAAAAGCATGTTGTGGACAAGGAGGAAAGTATAACTATGACTCGCATAAAGGTTGTGGAGCAAGGTTTATGGACCATGGTAAAGAAATTTTAGTTGGGGCTTGCAACAATCCACTAGTCAAGATCAGCTGGGATGGAGCTCATTACACCGATGCGGCTAACAAATGGATCTTTGATCGTTTAGCTGATGGATCATATTCGGATCCGCCTATTTCATTGAAAAGGGCATGCTACAAGGACTAATGGATCATATTTGGATGTGTTATAAAAGTAGAATAAATTCATACTAGGTACATTTGGTTCATCAACACAATAAATAGAACCTTGAGATTATTAGAGTTTTGATATGAAAAACAAAGTTAATGCATGCAATTTCTAATTAAATTAGATATTTAATACATTGGTGAATGACATTGCGTTAATATCAAATATTTAAACACCAAGTTAATTGAAAGACCTGAGAACAAATTCCGAGTAATTATTTAATTGGAGTTCGCATACTAAGCCAACTCAATACTTGTCTACGTTCGCAATCATGAAAGAGTACACGATTATAAAAATGTAACCAAAGCTAATGACAAGCATTTTTCAAGGAAATAGGAGGATCCGAATAAGAACCATCAACGATCCGATCAAAGATCCATTTGTTAGCTGCTTCAGTGTAATGGACACCGTCCCAATTGATAGATACCGAAGGATCTTTACACGCTTTTCCTACTAAAATCTGTTTGCCCTTGATATTTATCTTCCCTCCACAACCAATGTGCTCGTTATAATTGTATTTTCCTCCGTGACCACAACAAGCCCTTAGTGGATGCTCAAAACCTTGATAAAACGATCAAATAATTAAAATTGAAATAAATTACATTCACGTTTTTATAATAATGCGGGGTTATAATGTATGAGTGTGATGTTGATGGTCCTATGTTTAGGGCTGGCAAACCCTGACCCGACACGAAAACCCGACCCGAACCCGACCCGAAGTTACTGAGAGAGACCCGAACCCGACCTGAACCGAACCCGAATAACCCGAATTCGACCCGATTTGACCCAAATTTCATATTTCGTAATAATATTAAGTTTTACACTATTTTTAATAGTTTCTAAGTATAACCCGAAATCGACCCGAAATCTGACCCGAACCCGACCTGCTGACCCGAATTGCCACCCCTACCTATGTTGTTTAAAACGCATGCTTAGAGTTATTGATTACCACATCATATTGGCATTTTCAAAAAGTTGTCGAGGATAAAGCTCCACATTGCACGTCCCTTTACTTATAACAAATCATACTATTTGACATTATTCCTTCATACACCATGTGTCACTAGTATTGATTCTTTAAAATGTTACATTCACGTCCCGATCCTAAGAGGTCATGGGATCGATTCTCATCCCCGCCCTTGTGGCTCTCTAAACACCAAAAATAATTACATCCACATATTTCCTAGTATCATGTAAGTTAGGATGTTTTATTGCTTCTTAGTACATTAATACTTCGTTAATTTAACATTTTAAAATGTTAATTAAGTCGCACTCTATTGTTACAATCACAACCAATTTAACATTTTAAAGATAATTTCTTCTTGGACCTAGCTTCCATCGTAATTATGATATGCTGTTTGATATTCAACCTCTATAATTATACACACTTAACTTACTAGTGCCAATTACAAGATTCAGTACTGTTGTCTTTCGCCATAACCAATGACACCATACCAGGCCAATCAATAACTACGATGAACGGGGTGGTTCTGAGCATGTATAGGGTGGTCGATCGCACAGGACCTCTGAGTAAAACTACTATAGAAGGACTCTTGTTTTTGAAATTTACTTATATAAAGTAAAGAGAACTTGTTTATCAATAATCTATTCTTTAATTTCATCACAAAATTTATGATTTCACAAAATATTTTTCGTCAAAAAAAAAAAGAAGTTTAAGGCACAATTTAACAAAATTACACCGGGTCATTTTCAGTGTTAGGATTTGTAGCCCCGCCTCTGGTTATTACGTTAAAAAAAGTCGTACATCTATCACTACATGATCATAATTTTTTTTTCTTTTTCAAAATTTAATGAATTTAGAATTAGAAGGAGAATTAGATCACCTAAGATGTGCATCAACCATGAATATATCATAACTCATAAATTAAAATTGTAAAAGAGTAGAAACCTTACCATATTTAGTAGCATGGCTAATGAGATCGTACTTGACAGAATAAACATCAACATAAGTTAAGGTAGCATGGGCTAACTTTTTTCTTAGGTGGACCACAACTTCCTTTAACTTTCGGTTGAAATATTGGGCCACTTCGTTTTGTGGGCTGGCACATCCTACTTTGTCCACTTGGCCTGCCGTGATTCGCACTCGGTCCATCACGTATGGTAGGCATCCTACTGGTCCTGTATTGTGTATCCAAAAATACCTACCTCCTTGATCGTATATGTCCTATACAACCATTCAAATGGAAAAATACATCATCATTCGTAATTTATAATTCCAAAATTGATGTAACGAGATTCAATTTTAGTTCGTGAACACAAAAAAATACTTCCTCCGTTCTATTAATATTGCAACAATGGACTTTTTACACTATTCATCACTCTTGTTTGACCTTATAATATAAATTTATACGTTAAGTAAAATATAGTCATGTGGGATCTTATTGGATTCGTCTCATAAAATACTTTCACAATATCAACTTTTTATAACTTTTACTCTTATACAATTATAGATATTTAGCATATAAAATGTGATTTGGGATGCGTAATTTCCTCCTTGTTGCAATATTAATAGAATGGGGAAGTATGTATTTAGTGATATGTTTTTAAATAAGTCAACAATTTTATTAAATACATGCCGCATAATTGTTAATTTATTTACGAAAATACCATGTTGAATAATATATTTTGTTGGTTTATTTACAAAAATGCCACTGGAAAACATAAACATATATATTTACAATTTTACATGGAAAAAAAAACATAAAATATATAATTCTCTTACCTTAATAACAGTAGTAAATTGACCTAAAACATCTGGAACATTTGCTTTAACTTCGTCAGTTGACATGTTTAGGAAAAATCCAGCCGTTAAGTCATTTTGACCAATATCAAAAGTGTACAAAGCCTTAGAGAAATATTCTCCCTTTGGTAGCAATTCCTTGAAAACATGTCCTGTTAAAAATTTCATAGATAATTCGTAGATAGTTTTATATGATGTACCTTATCCAAATAAGAAATTGAAGGAGAAAGGATAATCAAAATTGACCTTTGTTACGAATAATTTGGGTACGTCGATGAAAGTCACTGAATTCGTAAAATTGAATGTTCAAAGAAATAGGGCTAAACCCACTTTGATGAAGGGTTGTGTTTTGTGGTCGAATGGTCGACCCAGCCGTTGCGAAATTGGCCCCATGGCTGAAGTTCGATCCCACGGCATCAAGGAATGCACTCAGATAAGGAAGTCCCAAGCTTTGTGCTTTTACCAGAAAAAGTTATAAAAATAAAAATGATCAACTATGGTTTTATAAGTTTGACTCAAATTAAATTTAGTCAATGAGGTCACAATATGAAACTCAATATATATTGCATATATGAATTCTTAAAATAAATTGTTTTACATTTAAGCGCGTGGTAAATTGATAATGAATCCTGAATAATAACTAAGTGGTTATCTACGGAATATTTGCCTAATTATGCAAACAATATTATTGGTATAAGGTGCAAAACAATGAAATCTTGTAGTTTTAGGGTGTAACGTTTATAAAATGGATTTTATCAGGATCCCAATGATTCCTGTTGGTTTAAGCTTCTACATAATGACAATTGACAAACAACAATAATAGGCCATACTCTCGTGCATATATACATAGTATCTTTTAACTAGTTTTATTATCCTATATGCTTCGAATTTCTAAAAGTACAATGTACCTAACGATACAAACAAATTATGAATAAATCATAATCTTTTACTCTTTTGTTATTCTTTGAGGACAAAATAAAAGCCATGCTTAGATGCTTAGTAATAAAGTACAATGATTTTTTTAGATTGGTCTTGATCTTCCAAGATGCAATAATGAGTGTACGTACAATGCAACAAATATTTTGGATATATATATATATAGGAATCACTATTCAAACTATGTAAGGAAAATGATATATACGATCTTTACTTACAGACGTTACAGTTGCATATATAAAGCTAGAAATTTATATATAAATAAAATATTAAATGGTTATATCAATTGAAATATGATTTTATTATATTTTTATGCCAGATTAAAAAAAATGCATGTACTAAATGTGTAAGGGATAAATATATCATTATAATATGGTAAGTTTGTAAAATTTTAATGCTAAAATGGGATTTAAAAAGGAAGGATATACTCCAAATAAGGACACAAATGAAAGGTGAAAATGATTTTGATAATGATAAGAGTTACAACAACAAAGAAAAACATTATTACCAATGAAATCAATGACAAGGCGGCCGTCGCAGTATCTCCCCGCAGGTGAGTGGAAAAAGGTCTCGCCGTGAGGCGGTCCTGCCTGGCCAAACGCCGCGGACAAGCCACCGGTGTCCGAGTTCGAGTCTCCAAAGTTAAAGATTGCTGGAAACATGCATTCACCTTTGTTTTCCATTGCACAATTTGCTAGCACGACTAGAGTTGATGCCAATGCTAGGGATGTTACAATTTTTAGGTTGCCACGACACTCCATCATTTCTACAAAGAAAGAATGAGAGGATAGAGAGAAAATGTGTGTTTGTGTGTTTTGTTTATTTTGTGGTGTGAGCAATTGCATAAATATAAGAAGGGGCCAAAAGGAGGGAACTAAAATGTACAAATGGGACCAATTAAGATGGAATTGGTTCAAAGAAGATTATTATATTTCATTGACTTATGTATTTCGACCGACTGTTAATATTACTTTCTCTGTTTTTTTTTTTTAATCCTAACATAATTATTAATTTGAGCATTAAATTGGCTAAATTTGGAAGAAATAGTCATTATGCTTATCAATTAAAATGTGAATTAAGTAGTATGTACTCTAAATGGATGTAATTTTATCTAACTTTTGAATTCCCTATCTATCATTATCGGCTAACTATTAGTCCAATTCTTATATAAAAGTAACTAATAATAGTACCTTAAATAAACATTTTTATAGCTAGATTGGATTTCCAAGGCTCTATTTTTTTTAATCTGAATTGTGCAAAACATTAATAATGAGCTATATCCTATATGTATTTGTAATACGAAGTATACAAGTATAGTAATTATGAGAATTATCTAGGACAAATAGAAGGAATCACCTAATCATTTGGAATAAAACCCTGGAAAAAAAAAATCATATACACAATACACTTGTTGCATTACTTGCATAGTTGCATATGCTTAGGTGCAAGGTCCAACTTATTAGCTACTATCAACTCTCAAGTCTCAACACACACCAAAAAAGTGAACTGATGTTCGTCGCTCCCATTTTACATACTAATGCTCTCATTTTGACTTGAATGGACAAATGCCCTTTATGCAATTTGTG